GATGAGAAGTCACGAAATGCTTCCTGAAATTCCTTTAACAAATCCAGGCGACGGTCATACTTCGCAAATATAAGTATAGATTCAGCATTGGCAGTATCATTCAGCTGTTTGCAGTACAGAAACTGAACTGAATTTCCTTTTGACAAGTGTGACTTCCATAAGCTAAGTTTTGTAACGAAGCATTTGATGGCCTCATACAACTTCGTGTTGAGTTAGTTTTTGTCTTGCAATTTCAAATAAAGATCAGTTAACTGAGCAGTAATGTCCACAGCGAATGCCAGATCCTGGAGCGAAGTTGCATCACTTATGTTATCTGTGTTTTGATATTGCATCTCCAAGAATACTTCTAATTCTTTTTCAACAAACAAATCCTCTACAACGCTTGGTGACAAGACTAACATCGGACTTCTGTTTAAAATTGGAACATCGGTAAACCGATTACCAATTTCTTACAACTTGTTGACTTGACGGTGGTTGAGAGCACGGCCTCTGATATAGCTCACAGTTTTTGTGACCAAACTGAGCATACGATCCAATTATAAAATCTTTGAACACAAATTTTGCTGATAAACATTGTAATGAAAATATGCGTATAATGAATCTGGGTGCGATTTTCAATTTCTGTACGTAACATGGCAGCAACACCATTATGTCTACCAACCATATTCGCAGCACCGTCAGTAGAGAAGCATGCAAGTTAATCAAATTCAATTCGTAGTCACACAGAAGCTGCTCGACTTTCGGAAAGATGTAGTGTCGTGCATTGTAATCAGTCCTTCATAAATATTAAATTCACTGTCACACGCCCTGATGAAAACCGCAAGTGGGCTATTCCGGTGATGTCAATGGTCTCATCAATAGCAATGAGAAATGTTCAAAACTAGATGATGTAGCCTTTGGTTGTTGTTTCAGATGAATTGACATTTCATCAATCCGTTCATCAAGTGATCCAGTTTAAGGAAATACCTTCGAATAAGAGTGCTTTCTCTGGACATACAACTCCAACCGTTTTTGCAACGCACTGCCTCCGAAATTTCCAACTCAGGGCGATTAGTCGGCTGAGTTCATAGCTTACAGTAACGGTAGCACCATTCTCCCTGTGTTTTTGTTGCAAAACAGGTATGTTGCTATCTCCAGTTACTCTTCAATTCCTTGAGTTTTGAGACACGCATTACGTCTTCATGTTTACCATAAGGGAAACGGTTCGTTTCACGATGTCATTTCAAGGTGTACTCTTGAGTTTGGTACAACAAGTTGAGTGTGTTAGAGTTGCTCCGTCATTCCCATTCGCGTCATACTGTGATCATGAATAGCTCTCTTGTGCCTTCTTCCGCTTCTTACAGAATACAGGTTCTGGTGGCTGACCGATGGACAGCTCTGTTCGCGTAAGTCCAGCTGCCTTGCATGTGCCGTTGAAGGAACTAGCGCGAAGCTCCGCACATTCATATTGTAAGATGCTGTTGCAAGACTGTGACGGTAAGATATAATTTCGATCCAACAGAGAACGCTCATCAGAACTGGGTAATCGATGCATGTGCAGAAGTGACGCAAACCTGCAAACGCAGTTCTGGCTCGTAGACGAACGACGCAAGCAGAATTGAACACATCGAGCTGATAGCAGGTAACCTATATTCTGGCATGAACGCGTACAGCGCATCGACCAAGTAGCTGAGAACAAGTCACTACACCATTCCCCGGCCAAGTTGTCGTCTTGGGCAACAGAAATAATCTTAGGGGGCATTCAACATGAGTCTGCTCAATTAATTTGTTCCGTGCGTGGGAGCTGAAGCGTCCCACCTGCACCCCTATGACTTAGTGCGTCTGAGGTCCAATTGGCTGAAGGCGACGGGCTATACACGCACACCTAGACACCTGCACAAGTGACTGGCGTACGCACGGAACACATTAATTGAGTAGACTCAGATTATTTCGGTTGCCCAAAAGAACAACTTGGCCGGGAAATGGCATAGTTGGTGCGTAATCAATGGACAGACACACGCACACATGTAGGGCAGTCGATGATGGGTAGGAGCATCTGGCTGGCGGTAGTGACTCCGCTACACCATGTTACCTCATTGGCTACATAAGCGAAGATACAATTGTACGCAGGCTAGGGAGTCTGCGAAGCCCGCCTCAGCTATGGAGAAGGCGAAATGTGAACGAATTCGTCAAAAATCAAGTCAAGAATGTACTTTATTCGCAATTGAAGGGTGAATATTCAGCTCTAACACACGTCACGGAATGGGATAAACAATGCAAAGGGGAAGTACAAGCGGATAAATATGAAAACACGACCGCTGAAAAAAGAGCTGGTAGAGCAAACATCGCTAGTAATTTACTAATCAGTTCTTGTATGAGTGAATCTTTTCGTTCAAAAAATGTGACAGGAAAGGAATTACAGATATACCTGTGCTGGCGTATATACTTTTGTAGATATATCTGGTCGAGAAGGTAGATAAGCATTTGGACAAAGCTCTATGGTGGGGATGGCTATCATCTGTGAGTATTGTAGCTGTAAACTGGTCATAGAATTTGACATGGCTGGCTACAATGGTGTTGACGATCGCCATCCTTGAAATTCCACCACAACGGGATAGATACTTCACTGATCTAGGAATTGCTTTAACGTACTTCTTCAAGAGACCAGGAAAGATAACTGGAGAGCAATAGGTCCAGTAGGGTGACATACATGTAGTGATAAAACGCTAGGTCAAGAAACTGGGTAGGGAAGAATACTTGAGATGTGTATCATAGAATGAAAGTCCTCTAACCATTAGCAAATGTTTCGTTCACCAGAAGGGACCACACAAGCCCACTGCTCAGCGTCACATCCAGGTATTTTACTGAAGTGGAAGAGACCAAACATTCACCGTCAATGCAAAGGTGTGGACACTGTGTCAGGATTTGCTGGTACCCATTTTCTTTGAACAGCGTAAAAAGGACATACTTGCATTTTGAGATGTTTAACGGTGGGCAACGGGATTTAGACCAAGCTGAGATTGACCAATAGGGTTTGTGGCTTGGCTGATGACTCTGTGTTTGGACGATGGACGCCAAGGATTACATCGTCCGCATACTTCAGAAGGATGGCTTCTTCGGGGACGGGGATTGTTTTAACGTAAGTGGAAAACAAGAATGGGGACGAAATGGCTCCCTGAAGAACACTAGAGTTCATGGGATTTGAGGAAGAGATTTCCCCCATTAACTTGGTAAATTGAGTATGGCTGGCAAAATAATCTTTCAACTGAAGGATAACAGAAGTTTGGACTCCGGAACCTAATAGATCGCGCAACAATAGCTCACGGGTCACAACTGAAAGCGCTGCTAATATCCAAGAAGCAGATGCGGATGGACTTGTTTTTATTATCCAGTGACGAGAGCATAGTAAGTACCAAACATGCTACCGCATCCAAACTGGACCTTGAGCTGCGATATGCAAACTGATGAGGGTCATCCAACTGGGACTGCGTTGAGATCCTTCTAAGAATAAGCCACTCGAAGGTCTAAGGAGAAACCGACGTGCATGCTATCGGCCGATATTTGAGGGGTCCTTTCTTTGGCACTCATGTGATGCTTGCGCTTTGCCAAATGGCAGCTATCTTGTGCTGCTTGAAGCACAGCGCGTTTAAGTCAGCGGAGGGCTACACCAGGTAATTTGCACACTCCTTGAGAACCACGGGAGACAATCTATCCTGACCAGGTACTTTGTTCATCTGCAACCCGATTAATTCTCTGTGTACTTCTAGGCTGTCCATAGGAGGGTTATCTGATGCTAACTATAACCCAGCAAAGGATATATCAGAGGATGAAGTACTATCATTGTCACAAAAATTGAGGTTTAGTTTTTGCACACCAGGAGTTGAATGCATGACCTCTCGGGTGACCCCGCTTAACTATTCCAACATTTTCCATATTTCACGGTAATTGTTGTTTCCAAGTATGGCTTGAACGTAGATACAGTTGGGTCGACGCAATTCGATTTTAAGTCAAAAGATAGAGAGACTTTGTTGATGCAACGCATTTGCGTTTAAAAGCCTTTTCTTTAAGTCTACGCAGTCGTTTGAGATGTTGAGAGGGGAACCTGTTGGCACGGATAAAAATTGTTTCAATTGGACGACAGGTGTCGAAGCAGAAATTCAAGTAACTAGTTAACTGGTCACAATACTTCGATACGCCCACAATGTAAAATAAACTAAAATCAGTGGAGGCAACTGTTGCACGTAGTCGCCGAATGTTCTGGGGAAGGTACTGTCTCCGCCTGAACCCAAGGTCTTTGCAACGGGTGAAATCTTTATAATTTGTCTTGCTATAAATAATGGGAGATAGCATTACGATTGCCTGAGCAGAGCTCCCAAGCGGTGCCCGATTACAAACTGAAAAAACTTTCAGGTTGTTAACAAATACCATATCAAGTATTGCATCTAACCTGACTGGAGATTGGACACACAACAACACTGTGCGGCCAATGCTGCTGCAAGGGTCACAAACATGGCCGCTGCGAGCTTCGTAGCGTAGGAGACAGACCGTGTTTGATCGTCTAGTAATGAGCACTGTCGCCGCTTGATAACAGGTCCACTGCAGTCGTCAGCTACCTTGTGCCCACATGGATACTAACCGACCGCCTAGGAGCGCATCGATGAGCAGTGCTTACTAAGCTGGTGAAAATCGAGATGGTTACTCCGGAACAAACGTAAATGAAACTACCAAATTCACCCGGCGATACAGTCGAGTAGGCCGTACTGTCCAGTGGCATGAGCGCCTTGGATAGAACCAAACCTTCTATTACTTGTCTTATCCGACATGGAACAGTCGTAAACTTAGTGGTGCAGCTGCAAGCGGTTTTCCAATACAGCTGTTGCCCGTACGATTATGCTCGTTCTGGTTTTAAATTCCATTCCAGTTACACGGTAACTAAATAAATGGCAAGTTGGTACTCAAAACATACTGAACTGGATTCAAGTGTGCAAGAGAGGGAGAATCTTCAAGCCAGTTTTATTTACCGTTTTGCAGTGGACATATGTGCAGCGTTCTTCCGTTTGAGACAGCAATCGCTGCTCAGCTTCGTCGCGCCTCTCCAAAACAGCTAGTCGCAAGTTATCCGCTTGATCTTCGGCCACAATCGCCAAACCCGCATGTGCAGAACCCTGGTGGACTCTGCGGGCTAACTCATTCAGACGTTCTGTTTTGTAAGCGTTGTCGATTGAAACGGGGGGTTGATATTCCGCCCCAGCAGAAGTAGCAGCAGACATTCCAGTAGTTATCTGGGCTTGTTTGGTCCCGTTCGAATCCAAAACCTCGGACAGTGGGCTAAAGGGGTAAAAATAAAAGGGAAATAAAGGTTCACATCGACCAATAGATCAATTGTGTCCGAAAATTTCAGTTTTGCTGCGCATAAAAAGATACCGTAGAGGAGACGGAGACGAATTTATCGCACCTCAAACGAGAATGCAATCTTATATCACGTGACTGGGTGCAAATGTTGATAGGTAAACCTCGCCAAAGGTAATCCATCAAACTGATATCAAATTGATGATCCATCAACAGCGCCAACTGCGAAATCCTAATGGAAAGGAAATGCTGTAGTTGAATGCAGCTCAAGGACCATCAGATCCGATAACTACTTTCTTAGCAAATGTGACAGAATATGGAACAAATTACCATCTAAAATAAAAGCTTGTAATTCAGAGCGAGAATTTTGCAAAAGGACAAGCAAATATTTATCCTGCAAAACGTGATCCACCAATTGCGATAGCAAATAACAAATAGCCAAGCATACGAACGAGGTTCATAATTCATATGATCCAGAAAACAGTTTACAACAGAGAGTGAATACTGCAGTGGTAAGGCCTTTATACTCACCGTCTTAATCTTCGTTCTACCTTCTACACGGTTATGCCACCCTCAATGTTATCAACAGCAAGTGTGCATTGAGGGAAGAAGCCAAATGAACATACCTCAAGATGCTCCGTCTTCATCTTCGATGTTCCTTTTACTCTTATTGCAGCCCACTCTTACATTTCCCTTTTCTAGGCGTCTCACTTGCTCCAGTATCATGTGACTGCCACGACCAACATTCGATACTACAGAACAGTCTTGAGCAAAGCATCCTTCACAATGTGCTCAAAGAGAAATCATACGTATTTTATATTTCCGTTAAACGCATTTTCTTATTATCCAAAATCATCTTTTAAGCTTTTCGCATTCATATTCTCAGGTCTACCAATGCCGATATAGACATCCAATGCAACAACAGACAGCACACGAGAACAACACTCAACTTTTATGCCCTATCAAAACTGAAAGTGCATTTGCATATTTTCCGACCATTCGTCGTTGTAGCACTGGAAAATGCTTTTAGTTACCTGAACATGCCGTCATAGGCGTGTCTAGCTGCAGCGAAAATACACAATCTACAAGCAGTCTGAGAATATAGGTCCAGCGGCATCCCCGTTTGTTGCATCAGGTAGCGCCTGAAGGAAACCCGAGGCGTTCTCCCTAAATTGAACCCGTCCAATCGGCGTTCACACCGCGTGTAAGCTGTCACAGTTGTCTCTCTGCCTCTTGTCGGGCCGCATGTGAAGTGGAGACGACTGCAAACTGCATCGGATGACGGCCACTCTGGTGCGGAGACTCAGCCGACAGTATGCAAAGCACACGATAAACTGACGACTGAGGACTGTCAGGTAAACCATTAACGGAGGCCAGTGTGAGGGCAACGAGCGCTGACCTCACCAGTGTAGGGCGAGGCTGGTCACAACTGCACACACACACACAGCAGTCAGGCTATGATTAGGCGAAGTGGTGAAATTCTTGTCATCTGTTTATTAGACCACTGGCTGGGCGATGAATCACCAGCATATACCGCTGTCACCAAGTTACCCACAATCTGAATCGCGTTGCGTGCCTGTTAATCAGCGAGTGATTATTTTTCGTCGGTATGGTGAATGCGGGTGTAAAGCTGAACAAACTGCTCGACAATACAACACTATGCATAGTGTCGAGCGGCCCATCAACGGACTGTATGTTCGTAGACTGGTGAAAATTGGGAGCGTGGGCGACGCCAAAAGACAGATCGGCCTCGCATCACCACGAATGACTTTTCTGCTTGTGTGCTTATTCGTGAGGCATGCAGAAGCTGTGATCTGAGCCTTCGTACACTCGCCCAGCATTGCGACACCACCAAATATGCTGTCCATAGGATTTTGTAGGAAAGGAAATGTTGGAAGTATGGCGCTCGTCAAGTACAGGTTTTAAACGCATGTGATCCGGATAAGCGGCCTCATTTTTGCCGCAAATGCTTAAATGCCATGGATATCCATTCAATTCCTTTTACCAATGAGGCTGTTTCCGTCTGCACGTTGCGGGCAAGCAACACTTTCGGGCAACATGTTATCGACGCCGGTGCAGCGCTTCACGCATTCAACATGGCGCAAAGCTCATGGTATGGTTTTGGTTAACTGGCCAAAGAATCGTGGGACAATTTTGCTTTTCCGGTGATGTAAACGGTAGGCTGTTGTTTCGCAGTACAAATGCCTTACACGTTCTACTATCCTCGTACAAGGAAATACTGCAAAATTATGTCATTCCGGAAGTGGAAACCGCTGGGTTGTTAAGTACCGTTTGGTTACAACAAGATGGCGCACCTGCACACTATGCACAAACGGTGCGAGATTTTCTCAAGCAGACTTTCCTTTACCGTTGGATCGGGCGGGGAGGACTTATAGAGTGGCCTGCTCCGTCAACAGATTTGAACCCTTTGGATTTCTTCCTCAGGGGTTACTTGAAACAGCGTGTTTGCAAAACGAAGCCAAACTCTTGAGAAATTGAAGCAGAGCATTTTGCATGAATGTCGCGGGATCACAGTTGGTACTTTGGAGAAAGTGCTAGCAAACACCCTCAGGCGAATGCTGAAGTGTACGCAAAACGCCGGCGGGAACTACGAACTTCGCCGACAAATCTGAGCTTTACACTAATAATCTGTAAACATAGGTATCATACAATGATATATCGACTGAATTTGTGCGCTGGCTAATGCTCTCTTTTTCTTAGGAACGTCAGTTGATGGTTTCTCCTATGGTTTTGCGCGTGCGTGTCGTGTTATAAATACGTCGGGATCTCCGTTTTCCCGTAAGTTGTCCCCAACTTGAAGCCTGTCTCTACGGTTCAGTTTCTCTATTCCACCAAATCCATGTGGTAGAATAGCAGTCGAGGCTCAGTTTGCACATTTGAAGGAACACCTTCCTAGTTGAACACAGACCAATGAGGAGACAAGCGGTTGCTTTACGACTACGAGGGTAGACCTTGCCAAATAGTCCTGTGTTAGGGACACCGGGAAGTGCCGTATCCTGACGAAGGATCATTGCTAGTCCTTAACGCAATAGCTACGCAATGAAAAGGTCGTAATACTGAGACAAGATATGGGATCAGGTGTCGCCATAACGGAAAAACAAGGCTACATCCAGAAAATGCAAAAATTTCTCGCACACTCTAGTCAATTAGTTCTTGATGTGACAGACAGCTATAAAACCGAACAGGTTATGAAATCAAATGTTGGTGAACTAAAGACCCTAACGACGGTGGGATGGAATCGTGCAAAAACTTTGACACAGCCGATCACTCGAGCATCTCGGCTTCCTTATTTGTAAGGACTGTCGAAAACCCACAAAGAAGGCATCCACTTAGCACCACTTGTTTCATTCGTAGGCGCACCGCATTGGCCAAACGCCTGACCAATGTAATCGCGCCTATACAAGGGAACTAGCCGACCCCATCGTTAAAGACACAGTTGTTAATGGATGAGGAAATTTAAATAATGGCGAGAAGCATGGTCTCCTAAGATGTATGCTCCTTGTTTACATCTTTGTGGGACACCTGGAAAAATACAGGTTGCGGCATCGTATAGGAAATGCGCACTTTTACCTATTTAGCTCTTTCACTGTACTTGCGGTAGCAAGTATCGTGGCCGTAATGAGAGTAGGCTGTCAGCGAGAATCGCAGAGCACTTTACTTCTAACATGCTTGTTAAGGGTACCAAGCAACCTATCAGTTCGATTGCTCGCCACATACTCGATTGCTGCGCGTGCCAAAACCCTCGTGGATCCTTCAACGTAATTATCAAACAAAGAGACTCCATACCATTTCCCACCTATGTTCGTGAATAGTTAAATTAAATTCGTTTGCCCATGAAGCGAAATCGTTTGTTACCCTATCAAGTTTGTGGCGTTGACATCAGTCGTGATTGCGCACGTTGTTCTACTACAGGTAGCGAATCACAAGTATCTCTTGCGCAGTGTTTTCGTTCATATGCTGGGAAACAGTTCCCGTTCTTTAGTATGACTTAATGCATATATGGTAGCGTAGCGAAAATGTTGGCCTTGTGATAAGGTGCCCTAAGTTTCCTCTGTTCACTTTCTACCTTGTTCAGGTGTGTATGCTTACCTATAGGTGCGGCTGCTTACCACAGGTGCCAGTACATGAGTACACGCAGCAAACTTGTTGACCAATTCACCGGCAGCCATAGTCGGGTTGTTGGTTCAGAATGATGGCTCCCAATTCATAGTGTAGATAAGTTCCTTAAATGTATTCCAGTCAATTCGGTGAATGTTATGAGTGGGTTGCAACTTTGTACTGTAGTGGCTTAGTTCGTTCAATGTTCACGATACACGTGTTGTGGTCGCAGCCCGGTAGTGGATTGTCAATGAGTGCACAAGTGGAATGGATCCTCATGGTGAATACTAAATCTAGGGTATTGTCATTTTCGGTGGGCCGTCTGACATAATGTGATACAGCCATTGAAGTGGATAGAGTACGCCATTTCGTCTAGTCCCGTTCAGACCGTAGGTCCAGGTAGTAGCCAGTTAACTTGTGGCGTATTGAAATCTTTGCACATAAGTTTGGACTTGTAGGTAGTGCTAGAAACTATGTTGATAGCATCCGTTAGCGGCTAGGTTTCATTCTGAACCAACAACCCGACTATGGCTGCCGATGAATTGGTCAACAACTTTACTGCGTGTACTCATGTACTGGCACCTGTGGTAAGCAGCCGCACCTATAGGTAAGCATACACACCTGAACAAGGTAGAAAGTGAACAGAGGAAACTTAGGGCACCTTATCACAAGGCCAACATTTTCGCTACGCTACCATATATGCATTAAGTCATACTAAAGCACGGGAACTGTTTCCCAGCATATGAACGAAAACACTGCGCAAGAGATACTTGTGATTCGCTACCTGTAGTAGAACAACGTGCGCAATCACGACTGATGCCAACGCCACAAACTTGATAGGGTAACAAACGATTTCGCTT